GGGGGGCTCACAATACACATGGCGTACAGCACTAGCAATGTCGCGTAGATCGGGATCTCTCTTTTCACTAGTTCATTAAAGTACGCACCAGTAAACGTTCCGATAGCTGCTGCAGTCAGTGTGTACTCCGCGAGCACGGCCACACCGGTAACGTAACCTCCAAACTTGCCCATGGCCGTCCGCGCAAATGTGTAGCCACCACCTGCGGCGGGTAGACTAGCCGATAACTCAGACATGCACAACCCCAATCCTAAATAGAACAATGCCACCAAACAGTACGCTATAACGAAAGAACTAAAGCCATTCGATAAACCTGGATTCCAACCAGCATAGTCCCCAGAGATCACGTAACTGACCCCCAATACCGCAATCGAAAACCATCCTGCTTTTCTCTCTAACTGGTTTTCGATAGACATGATTGAATGACCAAAAACGAAAATTACAAAAGTGTAGCCGCTTTGATGGTACGCAGTCATTTCGGACCTAACGCAACTGCTCCTGTTTCATTTGCTCCCGCAAACATTACAACGACCACCAAATCCGGACACCAGTTTCTTGGACGCGGCTTTTCTTTGACTGTGGCTTCGCTTCTCAGTTTGGGCATCTTCCCGCCTCACTTGGGCTTCCCGCCTCACTTAGGCTTCTGCGCCTCTACTCCCCTTCGCTTCTAGCCTTCTCTGCTAAGCGATGCCTTCGGGACATACCTTCTCGTGGTGAGTGTGGCCGTAGGTTTTGGCCCTATGCTCTGGCAGGTCTTCTTACGTCGACTCCCAAGTTGAGGTTGAGGGAGGCTTGAGCCTCCTGGTCCATGAAGAAGCTGATAAGGGAGAAGAGGGCAGCTAGGAAGGTGAAGCCCGAGACAATGATGCCCATGCCGCCATCATAGCCAATGTTGCCGAAGAGGCCTTGTATCATGAGGAAAACAAAGTAGTGGATGAAGTCTTTTGCAATACGATTAACAAGGCTGAACTGCGAGAGATGGGCAAGACAACCAAGCAGACCGAAGAAGAACGGTGTCCAGACGTCAAAGAACATATCGGGCGTAAACGTGAACAAAGGCGCACGCCATGTTGACCATTGTACATCTTCAATCACCGATCCCGACGGCCATTTGATGCGTGCCTTCACGTTGCACACATGAAATATACCCAACAACAAAGTCAGACATGAAGCCACGAACCCAATCCAACTTGTGGCCGCTTGTACTGCATTCTTCTAAACACACAAAATGTCATCATAGAAAAGTCCAAGACGACCACAAACAAGACAACATGTCACGAAGCACACAGGTGTGTCCTTAGAGGCAAGTGCACCCGAGCGCTCGTTAGTACAGCAAGAAAAGATCAACAGTGAAGAACTTACATCATTACCCATCTGTAGTGAGTGTCAGAAAAAAACAGAGTGCCAAAAAGAGAAATTCGGCCGCCGTTGAGATGCCTCATGTATCACACCAGACGGGGTTCTTGGGTGGACGGGGGCTGATGCAAAACAGGAATTATAGAATTGCATGCGGGACGAACAGAAAGTGAAAGGCGCAAATATAAGAGGTGATTACACGAGGTGATTACACGAGGTGTAATTGGCCCTAGAATTTGGAGTCTAGGATTTAGATGGATGTTTTGGATAGAACGTCGCCGATGGAGTTGGTGACTATGGTGGTGGTCCTGGTGGTGGTAGTCATGTGAGTGGTTGTCCCATTTTGGACGATGGTTTTGTAGCCGTCCTCGTTGGCATTAAGATTGTCTCTATGGAAGACCATGTGCATGGGTATATCTTGGTTGATAGGTGGAAGTAGTTTGATTTCGACAGAGCAGAGAGTTGGAAGTGCGTCTATGATGGGTGGTTGTTTCGCCTGGGTGGAAATGTCGGTATTATGGGATGAGCCAGAAGATGGGTACCCGCAAGCAAGGCAAGTGAAAGAATTGGGTCCGGTGTTATAGCATCCATTTTCGATAGATCGTTCGCAACGTGTACAATGTAGTTCTTGACCTTCACTGAGTTCCAAGTCGATAGATGTAGAAGATACGTTAGGTACACCTTGTGTCGTCCAGCTAGCTAGTTCAGTAAGCAGTTCCAACATCTTTTCTGGATGCTTAGTAAACACTTTAAACAATACTCTTTCGAACAACAGAATCTTTTTAGAGCTAGGACCCGCTAATGCTAGCGCATTAGCGAAACATTTACAAGCCTCAACCACTGACTTACGAGTCATTTCAGAATGCTTATGATAGATCGCCTTAAACAACTTACGCGTTTGTAGAAAATCATCCTTAGAAGACTCCGATACTGTAGTCATAAAGTCACCCTTCAAGACACAGCATACCTGATACGATATCTCCTTCAAGATATCCACAGACAAACCATCGGCTTCCAATAAAGGCCGCTGAGCAAACTCATCCAGAACCAACTGACGTGCCAACAATTCGAAACAACCACAAAAACCTACTACAAACGCTTGAGCACATACCGTACTACCCTCCGTATCATTTAACTTGGAGAGAAAATCACGCAATTCAGCCCAAGCTGATAATCGCAATATTCGATATACACGAACTGGACCAGAAGGGAAAGAATTCTGACCACCCAAAGCATTCAGTAATGGCAACACATGCGCTGCATGCAATTCCTCATGAGCTACCATAGCTGTCGTATCCATCCCGTCAGTACCAGCATCACACAGGTTACCTCGGTGGTTACTAAAAAGCTGAGGTCGCAATCCCGATATCACCTCCGACAATGCAACCTCGTCTCCACCTACAAATCTCGACATCACATTTCCACTCCACTCCGCTTACCAGTATTATCCGCTAGAATATGCTTCAAGGAACTCGAGTATTGTTCTGTATCTCTAGAATTCTCTTTTATCTCTTTAAGCGCATCCAAAAGAGGCGCATTCTTTATTACTGGCTGCTCTCGCAGATATTTCTCAGCCACATCATTATAAGTAATGCTTCTAAAAGGAAACACGGTCAATAGGCCTGGTGGGCGCATGGTGGTGGATACACCTGGTGGACATAGGGCTAGCAGGTCATCCATCGGGAGGGCGAGGTTTTTGTATACGTGATCTTTGATTCCTTCATTTTTTTCAAAAACGGGCTGCAGGAATAGTGATGCTTTCTCGCATGCGCTCATCATTTTCATGATGCCACAACTCTACAAAGAAATCAATGAAGCGCCCGAAGTCTGCCCCATCGCCCGAAGTCTGTCCCACCAATAATCCAATCCCCCAGTTGCGCCCTCCCTCGAGTCCAGGGCGAAAACACTGCTCCTGACCAACCAGTCCCCTTTCGGGGACAACCCGAACGGACGAACTTACCAAGGGAAGTTGCAGGTTCCTCCGCCGCCTTAGCGGTCCAGGGCTCCTGGGCTTTAGCGGTCCAGAGCTCCTGAGCCCTTGCGGTCCAGGGTTCAGATAAAGGTTCTCGGGCCTTACACGTTTCAGTCTCTTGAAGGTTGTCGACCGAGGAACCACGTCCCGCGTTGTTGAGAACAGTCCGTTGATGAAGAACCAGCGTTGATGGTACATTAGAAGGGCTCGGGCTGGCGGCTGACGAGCGTCGCCGTCTTCTTGTGGGCGTGGCGACGCCAAGCGGCGCATTTGGGGCCCTCGCACACGCGTGTGCACACGCGCGTGAGCCCTCGCCATCAGAGGGCGCATCGGTCCAGTAGCGGGCATCAAAAGTCCAGTCAGGCGCTTGCCCGTCTTCAGGCGCTTGCCTGACTACAGGCGCGGCCCCGCCCCCGGCCTCTGCCTTGGGTAAAAGAAACGCTTGCGGTGGCGAAGGCTCGCCCGGCGACGACTCGCCCAATGACGGTGGGACCGCCTGGCGGATCCGCGTCCTGCCCAGTTCGCTCTCGACGCTCGTCCGCGTTCGTCGCAACAACTTTTTTCCTGTGGAGCCACCGCCCACTGCAAATAGATCTTCAGGCCCGTCCTCCACGCGGGCTTTCGGCGTAGACGCGAGATCTCCCGGCCGCGATGCCGAACAGGGTGTCCCAGGCTGCTGAGCCTGGGGCGAAGGCAGCGGGGCCGAGGGCAATGGGGGAGAAGGTATTAGATCATGGGGCTGAGGCGACGTCCGACCTGTACCGCTGGAGGGGACGGCTTGGTCATGGAGCATGGTCCTAGATCTAGATTTCTTTCCCGGCGTCCTTGTGTTGTTCTTGGCAACCAGGTTCGCGTCAACCAGGTTCGCGTTAACAAGTTCCGGGCTGACTGCCCCCGCGACAGGACTCATAGTCGCGCCCAGAATTTCGTCCTCGTCTGCCATAGTAAAGACACCCATTTCTGAACGAAGCAGTTGTCGCCTCTTTACGGAGTTTTGCGCTGCATCACGCACCATGTTCTCCGTTGGCTCGGACGTTTGGAGATCTGACGGCATGACCGCCATCTTTGAGGGGGCGACCCCGAGGTCTGAAGGCATGACATCAAAGTCTGCCGAGAGGGCGGCCTCGAACTCCTCCAAGCCATCCAGGTCTGGCAAGCGTGAGCATATGGAGACTTGACTAGCAGCACCAGCAAGCTGGTTAAGTCCAAGCTGACTCCTATCTTCTCGCACTCTACTTCCCACTGAGCTGGTCCGGGCCCTCTTAACAGCCGGGTCCTCCTCGGTCGTGCACGCGAAAGGTCGCCGTTCCCGCTTCACTCTGGCCAAGGAAATCCGATCTGTACCCGAACTCTTCGTTTCTGGCCCTTCAGCGGGAGGCTCCAAATCGGGAGGAAGGTCGCCAATAAAGCGTACCGCCGCCTGCCTCGGAGATTCGTTCTGATTCGTGACCGTCAACGCAGGCACGTCCAAAAGACATACCTCGTCAACACCTGCGCCCTCAAGACCTGCGTCGTCAACACCCGCGCCCTCAAGACATACCTCGTCAACACCTGCGCCCTCAAGACCTGCGTCGCCAACACCTGCGCCCTCAAGACCTGCGTCGGTAGCCTCATGGTCTAGTGGTGCATAAAGTAGTTCACTCGCAGCTAGCCGTGTACTACTGGGTCCTTCGGTTAGGAAACTTTTTTTAGCGGCCGACTTCGCCACTGCCCTGTTCCTCGCCAGATTTGAGTTCGGCAGGTGTGAGTTCACCAGGTGTGTGTCTGGGTGTGTGGTTTCGTCGTCAGTCCATCGCACAGCCGTAGTACCCCGTTGGGTTATGGGGCGTATGGCAGGGGAGGCAGTCGTAGGTTCACAGTAAGCGAGTGTTGGTTCCTCACAGTGACGTGTGGGGGTGGGAGGTGCGGTTAGTGAGTCGTTGAGCCAGAGTAAAGGATGGTTGAGATTGTTGCGATCAAGGGTGGCGAGAGTGGTAAGATCTACAGGCAACGCGGCGACCATGGCTACACAGGAGCTGCGTAGTAGGCCGCTTTGATGTCCCCATACACTTTCGATTTCCGTTTGGGAGACGGTCTGGATGAGTAATTTCGTTATGGTTCCTGACGATTCAGTACTTGTAAAAGCTTCCGTTTTACGGCGCAAGCGTCGAGTCTCGAGACGGGCACCAATGCCCCAGGAAATGGTGAGAGGAAGATTTCCGCCGGTGTACTGGACGAGGAGATGTTCATATCTCGGTGCGAATTGCGCGAGCTTGTACAAGAGCCCGGCGTGGATTTGTTGGCCGTGCGGCCATTGTCGAAGAATTGTAGCCAGGGCCGGGTCGACACTCGAGCGGTCGACTGCTGTAAGAAACTCACTCGTGACCGCTGGTAATCGGGTGGACCGTCGTGCGATGGGCACACAGTACTTCCAGCCCGCCGTGTCCATACCCTCTCGGTCTTGTGTCAACGGCGGTGGAGACGGGCAAGGGTTCAGGTGGTCGTTAGGGTCAGGGTGGTCGTTAGGGTCAGGGTGGTCGTTAGGGTCAGGGTGGTCGTTAGGGTCACGGTGGTGGTCGTTAGGGTCGTTGGACTTGGAGTGTTTGCGGTTGGTTAGAAGAGGGGGGACTAAGACGAGGCCGGGGGCTGCAGCGATGAGTGGCTCCTTGGCAACGGATTGAAGAGTGGCAGGAAGGCAGAGGAAATGACCTCGTGGTGCGTGATTGGCAGCACCAAGCCAGTTGTAGAGTTTTCGGGTGGCCTGAACAGGTTGTCTCGAGAGGGGTTCGGAGTTGAGTGCGAGGAGTGTGCGGTCATTGTACTGATGGTTGATGACGGTAATGTAGAGTCCAGGTCGAACTTGCGGTATGGCGTCTTCAGTCTCAACGAACTCTAGAACAACGTCGTTAAAGGCGATGCTGAGAGCACCCAAGATCTCTGCAGGCTGCACGGCTGCGGATAGGGCATGTGTCACATTCCATTCGCTGAATTCGCTTCGGTCGATCTCTATTAACCAGACAAACGAGCGTTCTTGGTCAGAATGCACGACCTGGAATGAACTCGGCCGTACATGAATCCAACACAATTGGTTCGGATATTGCCCCACAGCCTTTTTAAAGTACCCAATCACATCCGGCTTACTCAACGTCACCTACAGGCATCTCACATCTGGGCCTATGCATGCTGGAAACGTGTGTTCTCGTACCCTTGTTGTCAGCCCATAGTCCATCAGCGAAAAAATGATCCCCAAGAGAGCGGGGTTACCCGGGGAGAGTAGGGTAATCCGAAAGTGGGGTTACCCGGCGATGGCTGGGGGGAGAGGGGCAAGCTAGAGGGGCAAGCTAGAGGGGCCGGCTAGAGGGGTAGAGTGAGAGACGGTTGGGTAAAAGATTAGAAGGCGGGTTCGCGATCATCTGCGGCATCCCAATGACCTTGGCTTGGCATTTTGGGTCCGCCTGCAGGTTTGCTCATGATGATTTGATCTACACGGAGTAGAGTGAGTGCGGCATCAGCGGCGAGTCGGATGGCCCATTGTTTGGTGAGGTAATGGTCATAGACGGGGTAGCCGAGTTCATTGAAAGCGGCGAATTCGTCACGTTCACAAGGCTCTGAGATGTCACGGACAGAGTTGTTACTGGAAGTTACGTCTACTCCCACTATCTCGGTCTTGCTACCTGCTTGCTCAGTCTGTTTGAACCGAGCGATGAGTCTGCTCATGGTTTCAAGTGCGTTATGACCTGCATTTTCGGCGAGCAATTTTGGAAAGGCGGCCAGAGCTACGCCGAAGCGTTCGACGGAGTATTGTTCAAGGCCAGCGAGAGTGGTAGCATATTGTTCTAAGTCGTCTGAGAGTGCGAGTTCCGCATTCCCAGCACCGGCAACGAATCGGTCATCACGACAGACTGCGCTAACGAGCGAGACACAATCGTCGACCGCACGTGCAACCTCATCGAGCATGGTCATGGCGCCACCTCGTAAGAGGATGGTGCTGACTTTGGTGTCTTTGCCCTGCACGACAGTCACTAGTTGACTGCCGATCTCCTTCAGTCCGACAAATTCGGCGAGTCCAATTTCCTCCGCCATGGGTGCACTGCGTCTCTGTAACGCAGGTATGCGTAACGTTCGACTTAGTCGCTTGATGTCGAATCGCGAAGGCACCGGTAACGCCCACATGTCATATTTGTTAAGGAAGTGGAGCGCGAGAGAAGAGATGGCACCGCCACAAATCACGGCTTCCACTCCCGCGTCATGGTAGCCCTTGATTAAATTCTCCATTTCCTCTTCTTCACCTTGCGTAAAGTTCTTCATGTGTTCCGCTTTCTCAATCAAAACCGTACTCGTCCCTTCGGTCTGCACTCCTTCAAGCGCTGTACCCAACAAGATAATTTTGCAATTACGTTTCTCCTTGGCCTCTGTGCGAGGTTCGCGCAGAAATACCATGCCATTCACAACGCACGACTGCGTAAGCGTACCACCGACGATCTTTGAAACGCGGATGTTGTCAGTGTTCATTTTTCCATCCTCCGACAGTAACACTGTATTGCACGCATCCTTAACCAATCGAGTTACCACTTCCACGTTCGCGCGGCCAAACACCTTGGAGGCGACTAGAGGCCTGACCATTAGGTCGTCGCAACCATGCATAGTTTTGCACACACGTGTTTTCAATACCTCGAGACTACGAGCCAAAGCCAACTCATAACCCTTAATGATGAACGACTGATGGACACCAGCACTTATCAATTCGCCTGCTTGTACCAATAATTCTGCCGCCAAAATCACCACGAAATTCGTGTGGTCACCGAACTCAGAATTCTGCATCTGACTAGCCATCACTAACACTCGAGCCGCAGGATGCTGCACCTCCAACTCACTCAAAATAGTACTTGCATCCGCCGTAAGGAAACGCTTCTCTATATAGTTATTCACCAATTTGCACATACCCGTAGGCCCGTAACTAGACTTCACTGTCTCGTATAACTTACGCGCCGCATCCACATTTCGTAACACCGCCTCCTCCGTACCCTTATAGTGCGCAGCACCCTCCTTCATCATTGCACTAATGCCAGCCGGTCCACGAAACTACAACCACAACCATGACCTCTCACTGTTGTCCCACCACCTGTTGTCCCACCACCTGTTGTCCCACCACCTGTTGTCCACGCGTTCAAAGCCAACCCCGCGCCTCTCTTACCATCCTCTTAACGATTTCGGATATTTATTTTTGAAGTCAAAACTCGTCGGCGGCTAGACCGAGATCCGAGTGTCAAAAAAAGGCCCTACCGGGTGCGCTCAAAAGACGCTCTCTGGCACCAGCACTGGCTCGTTGGGGGGCGGCCAGGGGGAGCAATGAGGGAGGGGGCTAGGTGCGGCCGGGTCCTCGGTTGACTTTGCCGACGGGTTCAGCGTTGGACTTGGGGTTTTTGACCATTTCGTCTATAGAAAGCACAGCGCAGGCAGCCTCGGTGGCGGCGGCATAAGAGTTCAATTTGATGCTCATTGGTTCCCAGACGAAGGTTTCAACGGAGTCGATGACAACGTCTCCGCTGCGTTCGAGGCAGTCGACGCCCATCCATCGTCCGGAATCGTCTTTACGGTTGTGTAACTGTCTAAGTTTGTTGACGACGTCAACTGCGTCTAGCCCAGAATTTTGTGCAAGAACGCGGGGGATGACTTCGAACGCGCGTCCGAAGGCTTCGAAGATGAGTTGTTGTTTGCCGCTGATAGCACGCGCCGTCTGGCGAATGTAGGCGCTTACCTCCATTTCCACCGCACCGCCACCGCCAACTGCGTGCTGGCTCTGAAGTGCGCGGCAGCAAGTCATGAGCGCGTCGTTCAACGAGCGTTCAGCCTCGTCAATGAACTGGTTCGCGCCACCACGAAGGACGATAGTTGAAGCTCCGCCGCGTGGACATTGCTCAAACACATTGTAACGCTCCTTACCGATCTGGCGCTCCTCAAAGGTGCCACACGTACCCAATACTTTGGGGTCTAGTTGTGTCACGGTCGTCAACAATCGTCCACCTGTTACCTTGACCAAACGTTTCATATCACCTTCCTCCACACGACCGGCACAAAACACACTCCGGTCGGCGAAATACTGGGTCGCAATGTCGCCAATGGCCTGTCGAGATAAAACTATGTTTGCACCCGCATCCACCATAGCCTGCAACCGATCAAGCAGCATCTGCCACTCCGTATCAATCATCTTCTGGTACTCGGATGCATTATCTACCCGAATCTCCGCGTTTTCTTTCTCCGCCTTCAACTCAAGTTCTAGGTCGAGCAACAAGATCTTGGGGTTGGTGAAACTTTTTGGAGCATTCTCGAAACCGGCGTATGAGAAGCACTTGGCAAATGCCACTCCCTCGACGCAAAACGAATCCGTCACACTACCACCTGCGACCTTCTTCACGCCCACCATCGACTTATTCAACAGCGTCGAACTAGTCTCCGTCCCCATGGCGCTGCTGAGGCGACTAACTGCCCGGTATATGAGGCATCCGAAGAACTGTTTGTGGTCGGCTAGCAGCTTGCTATTTAATGATGTCTCTGCGCATTTTTCTACGACGGTTTTCATTTCATCATCACTATACTTGGTGAGGTCAATGCCCAACTGTTGGACACGTTCAAGTGCCATGGCACAGGCCTTTTGATAGCCTGCAATTATCAATCGTGGATGGACGCCATCCTCAATAAACTGGCGGGCTTCATTTAACAACTCGCCGGCTAACACCACAACTGAGGTTGTGCCATCACCAATTTCAGCATCCTGGCTCTGCGAAATATCCACCAAAATTTTCGCAGCTGGATGAACAACACATAACAACTCCATTATAGTCGCACCATCATTCGTTATATGCGTCTTCTGCGCCGTCTGAATCAACTTGTCCTGCCCCATGGGCCCTAATGTCGTCTTCACCGTCTCCACCACCGAATTGCACGCACGAATGTTCGACAGAATCAACTGCGTACCAGACGCCGCCTCCGTCCCCGACTTCAGCAAGATGATCGGCTGGTGCATCATCGGCAACTTCGACATCATCATCGCGACTTTTTTATACACCACAAAATATACCCACACCCGACACACCTTGACATTAAACTTTCGCCTTCCTGAAACACACACAGCAGGCACGGCACGGCTACCTCATAATAACACTGAGCGGACCGCCGTCCGGATAACCCCGTCCTGACCATTGTTGCTTTGCTCGTAACCCTCCTGCTCCACCCACATATGTAAGTCCCTCGAAATTCAGAAGTTGTAAGGAAAAAAGTTGCCTAAGCAGATTCGGATTGAACAAGCTTAGCCTTCTTGTTGGTCACGTGGATGTTGAGCTGCTCAGCCCTCTCAACAATATCCTTTCGCTTCTTGGCGCTCACTCCGTGTCCGATTTCAGCGCAAAGTGCTTCATTCTGCATCATGAGCATCTCCAAGTCCTCAACCTGAACATGAAGTAATGTGACACCGGTTCAAACCACGCCGCTTGAAACCACGCCGGTTGTCGTGACTAGCATCGTGCCAATCCGTGTGTGCCTAGCATCGTGCCAATCCGTGTGTGCCTAGCATCGTGCCAATCCGTGTGTGTGTGTCAAATTGTGGAATGACATTGGGCCGCCTTGTGTAAGAGTGTCAGAATATTATTTATCGATCACAGCCATTCAGCCTCGAAAGATGGATTAAATGTGTTCATCACTCTCCTTTGAATTTCCCACATGCCACATGTGATTTCCGTGAGTGTTTGCTTACCCGGTTGACGAGGAACTTTTTGTAGCCACAAGGAAGGACATCGCGGGTAGATTTATCGGAGCGGTAGCCAACATTGGGCATAGCCTTGTTACCACGGAAGCGTCTACGGACTCGGTTATCGATACCGCGGGGCTTTCTCCATGACTCGCCAACGCGATCGAAGCGGTCGGACTGGAACCGGATGAAGGGCTTGGTCCTCTTCTTCACAACCTTCTTCGTAATGCGAGGGAGAATGGCCATCTGTAAATAATCGCAAACTTTTTTTCCCGGGTGGGCACACACTTACCTCAAAGGGACCTTGTTTTTTTTTCTTGGGCGCAACTTCTTTTTTTTAGAGACATAACAAGGAGATGTTGTATGGCACTGCTTTCCTCAGCCTAGGTCCATACTGCTGGGCTTGCGTCCATACTGTTGGGCTTGAGTCCATACTGTTGGGCTTGGGTCCACACTGCTGGGTTTGTTGAGTGCGTCGCTGCTGAGTGTTTGAATATCGGTTTCTCCCGGGCAGCAGCAGGCAATAATAATAATAGTAAGACGAGCCTCCACCCCGCTCATTCCGTCCATCCTAAGTGGCCACAAGAGTTTATTCCTAGCCACAAGAGTTTATTCCAAGTGGCAGCGAGTGCTCCGACTTAGAACGGTTAGACTCAAGCCTGCGTCCAGCCTTGACAAAACTGCGGTCCAGCTAGGTCCAGCTAGTGATTTACAAGGGAGGGAAATAGGCCATGAACCAGTCCGGGCGATCCCAGATGGCTTTTTGGGATAGGGCCAGCACGATGCCGAGGGTGCCGACCTGCTCAAAAAGTTGGGATACATCGCCACTCACATCCACCCCGGGCGGCGGTGAAGGGAGCAGCTTCTGTACCTCAGCGGAGATGGTGGTGGTCCCGGAGTCGTTCGTCTTTGTGGGAGCCGGAGTGGTGGGAGCCGGAGTGGTGAGTGCACTAGAGAATGGGGCGCGAACGGCCGGTCGCCCGGAGGTGGTTGGCGGTTGCGATGAGGCGGTCGTGGTGGGCCAGACAAGGGGTGTGGCCGTGGGAGCGGTGGTAGGGATTTTGGATACCATGAATGCAGTGAGTGAGTCCGCCCATTTTTTTTCTTGTTGCGGTGATATCTGGGTTTGGGCTGCTTTGGTAGCTTTGCTTTGTGTAGTTTTGAGTTGTACCGGTGGTGGTTTGCGGCCTTTGACGGTGTCCCCTTCCACGTTCTTGCGTCGAGTGAGCAAAAAATTAAAAGGGGTCTTGTAATTGATGGACTCAGAGGCCACCGTGGAACCACCGCTGTTGGTAATATCGTCCTTGAAATGGTACAAGAGCAGACATAACAGGACACCCACCACTAGGCCCACGAGCACGTACAGCCAGCTGTGTCCGTTTGTCGAGCTCCGCGACAGACTTCCTCCTCGTCGATGTCCGTCTCGCCAAGACTCTTCGCTTCCCAGAATCAATACGTCTACGTCGCTGCCGGGACTCGCCCGACCAGCCCCTCGGTATCTCTCTTGATCGCGGCGCCGCCCTGCCATACCTGCACCCTGCCATGCACCCTGCTCGTGACAAACCCATCCAACACACTGTGCCGTAACGACACAGTGTCTTCATACCGCAACCTGGATTGACATACCTCGTCGAGACATACCTCGTCGAGACATACCTCGTCGAGACATACCTCGTCGAGACATACCTCGTCGAGACATACCTCGTCGAGACATACCTCGTCGTCAATCCGGAATTGAATCGCTGGAAAGACAGAAGGTAAGGAGGTCAGGGAAATAGTAGCAAATTTGCTGGACACCAGATCTGGACGCGTAAGGTTTCACGTGAAGGTCATTGCTAACCCAGTAGCCGCCGATAGCTTTTACGTATTTCAGCATAGAGTTGAGCCACGACAAGTTACGGCCGTACTTGCTGGATACTTGCCCGAGTGGTTCGTACAATGGATCTTCAATCGAATTCGGGGTTTCTGGTAGCTGGGAACCTTCCCGCACCGCCAGATAGTTACACTCCCCCTTGGTGAGCATTATCTGATCCGCTTGTACCAATTTCTACGGAACATGTTGTATGCCCTGACCCCCTTACCTCACTCCCCATACCCAAGTGTATGTGTACCCAAGTGTGTGTGTACCCAAGTGTATGTGTACCCAAGTGTATGTGTACCCAAGTGTATGTGTACCCAAGTGTGCGTGTTCTAACATCTATGATTGGTTTTTTTCGCGCTTGAATTCTTTCGTTTGATTGTAAACTGGTCCAGTCCCTTTCCGTAAATACAAACTGGAAAAGGGATCCTCTTTTATAACACCAGTCACTAACTACTACTAATCCTAAAGGTTCGGGGGGACTTCCTCCGGAGACGAGAGAGTAGTTATACATTAAATCAACTCCATCAAAGACTAGAACCGGGGCATTAGTGTACACGGGCAGAAATAGGCTAGGTTCCCATTCATTAATTAACAAAGCTATCTTCTGTAATCGGGCATCCAGAGGGTATGTGATCTTGCCACGTTGTTGCAGATGGATCAATTCTTGTAGAACTTTATTCCCTGCAGAATCTGTGAGAATTCAACAGAGAGAGGGGAGGGTGAGGGGAGGGTGAGGGGAGGGAGGGAGAGGGGGGAGGGTGAGGGAGAGGGTGAGGGAGAGTATATACCTTGTTTTGACGACTTTTTCAGTTGATCATTAAGCGTCTTCATTACAGTCGCACATTCGGGTGCTGGTATTCTTGTAAGGGGCCGGATGGTGGGGGGTGTAGTTTCTATCTTCCTGGACATTCTGGCCGGGATCATGACCCGTGCCCCGGCGGGAAAAAATTCAGGTAACAAACAGATGGCGAATTTTCTGTTCCGCGGGTTGGCGGTTAACCTTTATGAGTTACCCAGGAAACGATGGATTAGCTACTTTGGAGCGGAGCCAATGAGTTCCATTTCAGTTATGGAGAACGAGGACATTATTATGATATATGATTGTCAACAAGTATTTGTAGCTCTGGCCAAAGAAACTGTGACTACATTTGCTTCATTTAGTAATACTGGTGATGCGGCAAACATTAGCAGAAGTACCCCGGTGCATGTAGCTACTTCGCTTGATACGAATAGGAAGTATGGCAAGATTATAAAAGCAGAGTTCATTTCTATTGCGCCACATCTCATAGTCGTATATTATGAAAATGCGTGCGAGATACACACGGCCGAAATGGATAGACAAATCATCTTTAAACAAGAATTTAAGAGCAAGATCCGGCATGCATGTTTCGGGTGGGATTTATGCCCAGAAAGATATCAAGGTATGGGATGTCCTTAACTGGTGAATACACTATTAACGCAACACCCCCCCCCCTAGCACACACACCATTAACGCAACACCCCCCCCCTAAGCACACAC